AAATTCAATTTCAAAAATTAATTATAAAAACTAAATTTTTGAGAAAAGCAAATGAATGTGCAAATAGTTCTGCCAATGTGATTGGGAGCAAGTTAAGTCCTCTAGTAATTCATCCTTATCACATCACCAATTTTTCAACCAAAAATGGATTTGGTGAATGTTGGATATGGAGTCCAAATAATTCTGCTAATGTGTTTGTTTGGTGGGATTGATGGGGGAGATTGACTCCCATATCTAATATTTTACATAATTTATTGTTTCGTTAAAAAATTATTAGTCTGATCAATTATTACGCTGTGTTTGGTTGAAAGAATTTGAAAAAAAAATTGAAAAAGAAAAAAAATTAAATAAAATATAAAATAAAATATATTTATATTTTCACAAACTTCACATTGGTATCCATAGGTGGGATTTCCTGTCGTAGGGAAGGTGGATTTAGATCCTTTCGGGGATAGTTTTCAGTGAGCAATGAACTAGCGTCCTTGTCCAATTTGGCGGCTTTGGATATTGTTCTATTAAATATGGACTTCTGGCCGAGAGGTATTGAGAAGGTGAAAAAGTTCAATATAGTTGTTGGCGATTACTTTGGTGGCATCCCTGACCCTCGTTATTCGTTATCAAATAAGTTGGATCTCCAAGGTCAAAACTTGAGTGACATTGAAACGAGGTTTGATTTGCTGTTGAAGAGAACTGAAATTCTTATTTTAACCGCAACTGCAGTAAGTTTGAAAATTCTCTGTGATTTGGTCGACGAAGATGGTTTTGAATGCTTAATGAAATTGACACTAGACTACTTGACTGAATTGGAATACCTCATCAATACAACAGATGGGGTTCCCCAGAGTGCTTTTCCTGTGAGTGTCTGTATCTTCGTAATCTATATAATTTCAAAGGGATTACTAGCCATGAATGTCATGAATACCGACTACCGAACACGGCTTTCCGTGCATTGAAAGAGTTGGTACTATATTTCTTGCCTGAATTGACAAATATGTGGAAGGGTCCCACCCAACTTGTATGGCTCGGCAACCTGACGTCTGTAGATGTGTTCTGGTGTCATAAACTACAAACTACGTTCTCACTTTCCATAGCTAGAGATCTAAGGAAACTGCAGGACGTTCGGATAACTCACTGTGGCATGATGAAAGCAATTGTTTCAAGTGAAAAATGATTTATATTTACGAAAATTATAAAAATTATATAATTAATTATTATAAATTATTATTATATATAAAAATTATATTATTTCAATGCTTGAGTGTTGTGGGTGTGGCCATTGGTGTGTGTGTCATTGTGTGGGTTGGCTTTGGTTGGTAGTAGAAACGCCATTTCAAATGGCAAAAAAAAAAAAAAAAAAAAAAAATTTGGTTGTGAACCTTAAAAAAAAAATTAAAAAGATTAAATATATATTTAGGTTTGGTCGTGAATCTTAAAAAAAATAAATAAATAAAATAAAAAAATAAAATAAAATTGGTTGTGAACCTTAAAAAAAAAATTTAAAAAAAAAAAGAAAAAAGATTAAATATATATTTAGGTTTGGTCGTGAATCTTAAAAAAAATAAATAAATAAAATAAAAAAATAAAATAAAATTGGTTGTGAACCTTAAAAAAAATAATAAAAAAAAAGAAAAAAGATTAAATGTATATTTAGCTTTGGTTCTGAATCTTAAAAATTAAAAAAAAAATGGTTGTGAACCTTAAAAATAATAATAAAAAAAGATTGGAGGTATATTTAGCTTTGGTTGTGGATCTTAAAATAAAAAAAATAAAAAAATAAAAATAAAAAAAAAAACATATGAGGAAATTAGTGGGTACCCATCCCCAATCCATCCCCTGTGGATATTTAAAGAATATCACTTACCCTACCCAATGGATAAGAAAAAGAGGGAAAAACCTATGTATTTGGGTTGGGTCTCCATAGATACCCACAGGATAGGTTATCCATTGCCATCCCTAAGGGGAAGGGTGGCTATGGTGCTACCACGATGATATCGGCGCTGGCGATTGGAGCTGATGATGGCTGGCTGCCTGGAGCTAAAGATGGTGAAATTAGGTTTTTGAATTTGGTCATTTAAGGTAATTTAGTTTAGGGTAAAATTGTATTTTCAAACAAAAAAAAAAAAAAGAAATGGGGATGTTCAACCTAAAATTTGGGAAAATTTTATTTCCACACATCAAATTATTTCTGTCTACATCTTTTCCAAAGAAAACATTTAGTAATTTAATTTTTATTTCTTTATCTCAATCCACATACTTCACATTCCAAATATACTCTCACCTTCTCTGCACACATCTTCTCATTCCATCATTTCTCACTTTAAAAACTTTAACCATAACTACACCAGCTACCGGTGATGGCCCTCAAATAAGGGGGATGGGTATTTTTTATTGTTCGAGGACTGCTCACATCTTTTTTGGGGAAAAAAAAATCTCAATGTATATTTTTTGAGTTAAAAAAAAAAAGTCAAATCCTAATTTAGATAGAGAGAGAAGCCATTGAAATCCATGGAACCATCTTAATATCAAAAGGATTATTGTTACTATGAACTAAAAAACCCCCAATTCCATCTCCAATTCACAGCTCATCTTCTTCACAACCTCCAATCCCATCTTCAGATTCTCAATCACTTGCATCAATTGTAATTCTCGGTTGATTTCCACATTCTCTTCCCCACTGATCATATCAATCATACTTCCAAATTTTTCTTTAGAAACATCAAACTCCTCATCATCACCTCCCTATCCATTGAATTCCACCACCACCAATCTCACCTCGACCCATTTGGGTTTGTAAATCCAACTTCTTTGACTCTCCTCCTCTGTCTTGAATGATGGTTTCACTGCCAAGTCAAACTTGTTTCACAATGTCATTATCTTGATTACTTCTTGGAAAAATAAGGTATAGTTCAAGCACATATTCATTGAAGTTCCACTCACCGATCCTTTGTTTCATAGTCACACCACCGATTAAAAACTCTGTGTTGCCTTAAATCGAAATAGGGTCTGAACCGTTGGTATACAATTTTGAACAACTATGTGGAAAAAGGGTTGAAGTGGTGTATGTATAAAATATGAGTTAAGGGTATGATTGGAATATTTAGTGTATGAAATGAGAACAATAACTTATAACCAAATTATTAAATGTGTGTATTAAGAAATTATGTGTATTAAGATAAATAGGTGTATGAAAATAACATTAACCTATAATTTGGGATGTATTTCCAAATTATTAAATATGTGTATTAAGAAATTATGTGTATTAAGATAAATAGGTGTATGAAAATAACATTAACCTATAATTTGGGATGTATTTAGAGCCCCCCTAGTTCTCCCCTAGATGCTAGTAAAAGGACAAGTTTGCTTTTCAAGCATTTAAGTAATGTTTGGTTTTAGTTTTAAAAATTTGTTTCAGAAATTTTTTAAAAAAAATTAAAAATTAGTTTCATAAAGAAAATAAAAAAAAATCAAAAGTAATTTCTAAAAATTCAAAAATATAATTTTGATATTTATTTTTATCAAACTATTTTTTTTTAATCAGAAAATATTTCCTTATGATATGATCCACTTGAATTTGTATTGTTATTTTTATCAAATTAATTTCTATTTCTTTTTAATGTTATGCATTGCACTTAAAATAAAATAAAATTTAAAAGTCTCAACCAAAAATTAAAATAATGTTTCAATATAAATTTTATTTTTATTGATTTTTATTTATTTAATATTTTAAAAGTTCTAGGCAAAAAATAAAACAAAATTTATAAGTAAGATTTAATATTACTATTACTTGGTAAACAATTCAAAAGAATAAAATAACCTTTGGAGCATTTATTCTTTTTCATAACATCTTAACCAAATATAAGATTCAATAAGATAATCCTGACTTTTAACCCCGTGACTAAACAAATTAAATAGTCTAGAGATTATGAATCCTATAATTAACAGTCCAATAAATTATAACCCTTCTTATCCAATTCGTCTAAATAAACAAGTTTCATGTATACCCTTGTGTTTATCTTTTGTTTTAATTTTGGGTTTACCCAAAACAAAAAAATGATGTCAGTTATTTATTATGTTTCCTCCCTTTCAAGATATGACAAAGATCAGTTAAAAAGTCATATCGCCCTATCATTTGGTAGGAATAATAGATCGAGGCAAAGATATGACAAATTGTTATTAAATTCTATAAATTTTAATGTATGAATTGAAACTACAAGCAAAACCCTAAACCCTAAGCAAATTCCAAAGCTTTCGATGGAAGAAGAGTCCTGGAAGCATGAAAGAGGGGACCAAAAAAATATAGATTGAATAATCAAATAATAAAAAATGAGGTAATTATTAAAACAAGTTAGCCTTAAAAGTAGTGAATTCCATTATTCCATTTCAAATTAAACCTACAAAATATGTCAAAATTTTATATTTGCTGGTTTCAAGAAAAATGTCTAAATTTTTCGTTTCTTAACTTTAGAAGGAATAGAATAGCTTCACAAAAATAGAATCCATGACCATGCAAGCAAAATGAAATAGCATAGATATGATAAATCATGAATCAAAATGGAAATGATGAACTGATCATTCTTATATTAGTAATTAGTTAGCTTTAAAAATCAAAAATACTTTATATCATTTCCTATTGTCAATACTTTATATCATTTCCTATTTTCATAATTTAGAATATGTCTAGATTTTCTACTTATTGATTTGAGAATGTTGCACTTGTTTATAATTATTCCATTTGAGGGAAACACTATATTCGCAAAAGAATCTACTTTATCCAAGCAGATGATGAGAGAGGACCTTCACTGAATGCAGCAACATAATGCAATATCTTGATTAAGTGGGGCTGCCTTATTATTTTGAGTATTATATGTTCATGACCAAGCTAAAGAAAAGGTCTCAATTATACAAAATGCACCCCATGATTCCCAAACTGCATTCCAGTTCTCAATATAAATTATATGGACAACAAACCAACAGAAGTGGTTTCCGTGAAAGAACACAAGCAGCAGAAATCCATGAGAATTCTCTCTAAAAAAAATATTATATTAAATTGCAAGATAAACGTACCGATCTAACAAATGGTTGTTGGAACACCCACTCAATAATAGGTATCTTCTACACAAAAACTGACAGTGTTGGCCAAAATCTACTACACAAAATACCTTATTAGCTACTAATATTAAGTAATATGAGCAGAGGACATGAAATCATTGGAGGAAAATCCAATGAACCTAAAAAGAACGATGAACCCATATGCCTCCAAAATCATTCCCAACATAATCCATCCTATAACAACCAAGAAAAAGCCCACACTGAAAGAAATAGTTCCTTGTACAATCATCACAAGGCAAATAAAAACGGGAGATGAGTTTACACACTGAATGGAGACACAGAACAAACCAACCTTGAAATTGCTACATTTCGTGAAGAATTGCATCAAGGACTTCGGTCGCATGGTCATCGTCACCCTTGATGAGAAAAGGATCTGATTCAGTATTACTAAAGTAACACTACGTTAAGCAGGCATCAAATACATAGTAAGCTAAACGGAAAATGCTCAATAATGGAAGAAAGTGAGCAATAAAATTATAATGAGAGAAACTTTTTACTTACATTTCCCATGGCAAGTAGTCCCTTGTCAAAAAATAAAATAGTTCCTAAGAATGAGAACAGTATGCCAAATGCTATCAATCCCAGCCCAATCTTTGTTTCATCATAGAGTTTCCAATTCTTTCATTAATCAGAATTTTGAAATGGAACTATTCGTAAAAATAGAGCAACTGTTATGAATGTGAAGAACCTAAATATGTTAATTGCTTTGTATAGCAAAATAAACTAAAAATACTGAAAATAAAGGTAACCCAGTCTCTCATTCAGATGCCAAAGGCTCTCTTGCTCAAACCCTCCATCCTTTGAGGAACATTGATCCTATCTTGATAGTTTCTCGCTAAAAACATTCCCCGTGAATTCATTCAGTATAGCCACTCAAAATCAAGACTTAGAAGTGAATACCCCAAAGAAAACTATATGATACATGCCTTTTTAAGTACCAATGTCAATAAACACCAAACAATCAATCATGGGATTGAAGAATTTCAATTGCCAAACCAATTTAAGAACATAGAATTACAATTAATACCAAAAAGCAAGAAAGAAATCACCAAAATGGGAAAACTTTGGCTAACTCGTATGAGGGTTCCAATCAATTACATTACAAAATTGTACCAACCTGAAAACCAACTATAAAGAATATGAGATGATGGCAAAAGTAGAATAAAAGTTCACAATTAATTGTTTAAGCAACTTTGTAATCACAACAAATAATCTTTGTTCCAAACTGTATCACATTATTAAATTATAAATAAAAAACAAAGCAACCCAGTGCACGAGCTCTAGCTAATTATAAATGTTTATATACAAATGTCAAGAATGAAATTGATACCTTAAACTATTCGACGAGTTTCTCATAAACATTTTGATTGCAAAGAGGTAAGGCACATAGTAATGAATTAGAGTTTCTCCATTGTCCACTCTGATCTGAACTCCAGCATCGTAAGCACTCCATTCATCAAAAGAATTCCAAAGATCAGTCAATGTAAAATACACAACTTTTCCCTCTCCCAAGGGTGCCAAAGACTATTAAGGTTTCTGATCTCGCTTTATACAAATATCATAAATCAATCAATCATAAGACACATGAAAAAATCATCATTCTATTAGCATCAAAACAATTTTAAGGAAAAATATTGAAAAGAGAAAACAAACCCTGGGTAAGAACTGAGATGGGAGTGGGCCAATTTCTTCTTTCTTCTCCATCACTTTCTTGATAATTCCATCATTCTTGCAAACATCTACTACTGTAATCCATGAGATAAGATCCACTTCAAACTAAATAACACAATTAGGAGGGACACCATTTCTGCCTGTGACTCCATAACCCAAATCAGGGGGTAGCATGAATACTACCATCTCCTTCTTCTTCATGGTAATGATTGCACGGTCCAATCCAGTAACCACTTGACCTAACCAACCCATCAATAAACCAATGAAGTTGAAGGAAACCCAAAAGTAACTCCATGACAATAAAGAATCACAATGAAATACTTTTGCATCTAAAAATACTATTCAATGTTTTTGAATTTTAATGTAATGTCTTCAAAGCTACAAATCCATCAATTTTGTTAGTGGAGATAGAAATCCTTAGCATCATTGGTTTAGTTTCCGAGTATGAGTTCTCTAACTTTTATGAGCATTCACTCATTTTCAATGCAATATTTCAATTAAGGAAGCCTCAAATTTTTTGGTTTGCATGTTCAGGCATATTGTCAAACAGGTGGTGTGCCTAAATTGTGTATGCACTAACAAGCACCCACGAGAACAGAGGCATACAAATCAGATATCAATATATCCATAGCTAGCAGAAAAAGAAGTAGAAAACCACTAAATTACGTACCAGGTTGTGGAGTTTGGGCTATAATCTGTGTACCTAGAAACAACAAAGCTAAACCAAGATGGGAAGTGAAATAGAACAACGAGTATATACATATATGCGTTTGTCTTCGGCTGAAAGAGAATCGTTTGATTGCAAAATTTGATCCACTAAACAGAAGAAAATTCTAGGAGGGACATATGATTGCACCCGGCTTGATTGCAATATGTAGCGGAAGACACGTACGACTATCTCACTCAAACGGCATATGGCCAAGAAGGCACATAAACCAAAAAATTGGGAAGAAGAGTAGCAAATGACACGTAAGTGAATTCTTAGGACCGAAGGTAATAATGTGAACACTTGCTAGGCATGTCTGGTAATTCCACCAGTGTTAGATTCAAAAAGAGCTACTTGCTTCCGCTCTTTTATATATAGGTTATAGATTATTATTATTATTATTTTAATATTCATTTCCTTACTTTTATTTTAGTGAGCATGACTTTTACAATTTCTGCATATTCAATGGTTTATTTTCTTTTACACTTCAAGGACCCAACAATTATACAATTTTTTATTTTTTTTTAACAAATAAGAATTTCTGATTTATGTTCATAATCCCAACTAGTATAGAACACTAATGAAAGCAACAAATTGAATTCAAGTTAGTACATGAATCAAAGTAAATTTATTTTGTGCAAAATCTAATGGTGTAGCAAAAAAACACCAGATTCTTTGAGATCAGTCAGTTCATCAACCTAGGCTCACGCGTAGGGATACCCTTCTCTCATCCTTTTCCCCCCTCATTAAAAATAAAAATAAAAAATAAATAAATATTTATTATTTTGGTATTTTAATTTCAATAGCTCCTGGAAAAAATTAGGTTGCTTAGAGAGATTTTGCTACAATAATTTCAATCCCTTGCTTCAATAACAAGATATTTGGAAAGATTGCTATATAATTTTTTATTGATAGATATCAAAATAGGCATAATTTGTGTCTCTTTATGATTGATAAAGAAAACTCAACTCGAAATAATTGGTAATTACAAAATCACACCTATTCTCTTTAATTAGCACAAAGGTAATCAACAAGCTCAGGAAGAAAAAATCGTCATAAGTCACATTCTCACACCAAGTCCGCATTGAATTTTGATGCAATATTGCAATAATTGTTGGGAGTTCTTTAATGTCAAATTTACATTAAATTTTACGTTACAAAAATATTATGCCATAGCTTTCATGTGTGCCCTTCCTACTAAATATCAAATGTATACCCTGCTAACAAATGTCCAGGGGTATAAGTAAAAAATAAAAAAGGTATATATCCCAACTGATTTCATAACACTTTTATTTATTTTAAATTTATTTTTGTTAGAAATGGTTTTGGAAGTTTTGGAAAAGTCAGATTTTTCCTTAATTTTGGTCTATGTTTTAGGTGGGACTCATACGCCAAAGTTGGCAGGTCTAAGTGGTAACGTGTTCTATGCCGCGTTGCGATTCACGTGGTATATTTGGTTACTCAAAACCATTATCAGGTGAATGGGAAATTGAAACCAAAATAAGCTCTATGGAAATAGAGTTTTGGTGGAAAATCCTTAAGGGTTTGAATAAAGGCTTGTTCCACATTGGTTTGGTGGGAAGAATTTTGTGGGTTTATAAGGCATAGGTTTGTAACTTGGGGTAGGCCCCAAGGGGCACTCAAGTTTTGTAGAGAGAGATGAGCTAGACTCAGTAGACTCAAAAAATAAACACGCACACCGCCATCTAGTCAAGCGAACTAGGCTTGCGCATGGTGTGAGGTTGGGCTGGGCTTGTCTAGCCCAATACTAATTATTTTTTTGGGCCAAAAACTTTTGAATTTTATTTTTCTAAAATTAAATTCTAATTTTTGGAATTTGAATTTCAGAAATTAATTCGAAAAATTCTGCCCGGTTTTTTCCTCCACCAAAATTCTGCCCGATTTTTATCTGTTTGAATTTAAATCGGAACATTTTCAGTATCTGTTCAAATTCAAACCCAAATAGTGCCATATTTGTTCATTCAAACTGAACATGTTTGCACTTGTTTAATTCAAACCAAACAACCACATTTTCTCCTATAAATAGACATACACTCTATTGATTTTTCATTCATTTAGAAAATTTGTTCTTCCCTCTGTAATTACTCTATGCATTTTGCTGCATTAAATCCATTAATTTTCTGTGAGAAAGAATGTATGCACTAAGTGTGTTTGTTGTACAAAAAATTTGTAGTGCTGCAATTTTTCGTTGTTGATCATTTAATCCTGGGAGATAGACGTCCACATTCTGAAAGCATCGCGGAGAGGATGAATCTGTCTTAAGGACACAGTGTTAAACATTAGACTTGATCAGAAAATTTGTTCAACAAATTAATTTGGTAAGTAATTAATTTACTTTTCTGTTTTATTATTTTTCTGTTTCAGATTTTGATTTTGTTTTTGTAACAAAATAAAAATCTGTTTTATTTATTTTATTTATTTTTTTGGTTTTTATAATCAAACAAACTCTCTCCTTTTCTATATTTCTTATGTATTCCATTTGTTGTTTAGTACATAAACGAAATTTATTCTTTAAATACAGTGAAGATTGTCCAACAATTTTTAGGTTTTCATAATTTTCAAAATATTTTTTACACAAGACCCAACATGAAAGTGTTGTTTGGTAACATTTATAGTTTACTATTTTTATTTTACAAAAAATATTAAACATGCTTATATTTGTTTTGGGTATATATATATATATATTTGGTACGTAAGTATTTTTAAAAACTTGTTTTAAAACAAGTGAAAGGGATGACAGTTGGAAGCAATTGTCAACAATTGGAGATGGTGATCGTATTAATGTTATTCCTTTTAGGTCAGAGGTGGTTGCTGGGCGCCAAAGGTAATGGCCAAAAGTGGTTGGCGGAGGACAAATGTAATTGCCAATAGTTGAAGGTGGTAATCAATTGTGGGAAGTGATAGTCCAAAATGGTTACTAACGGTTGGAGATGATCGCTGATCGGCCGCCTTAAGGTGATTGGTAGCAGTAACAGGTGGTTTGTCACACCCCAAATCCGGGCATGACCGGCCGTGGCCCACAGGGACTTCGCCCAAGGCACACGTAAGCCTAAACACGAATCCAATCACATTGAACAACTGAACAATAGTCCAATAATAAATAACTAAAACTCAATCCAGACGTGCCACAATTATAAACGGCAAAATCAACCGTAATAAAAAATCATCCAAACTTATGGGATATAAACAACCCACCTATCAAAAATAATCCTAAATGAACTTCGATAAGAATAAATATAAATATGCACAAACTTGACATAACACTCTAAACTAAAGGAATGCCCTAGAGGTCCATGCAATTGAGTCCCCGCTACGCCATGAGTCCACTCTAAGTCCTTCTAACACCTGGAAATGGTAAACAACTAAGTCAACTGATAGCTCAGTGAGTAGTAACATGGATAGTAAATACAGTTTTGAAAACAGGGTTCAATTCCAAAATAAGATATATATCACAGAAACTAGATTGGCATACAGTTTGGTAAATAAAAAACCCTTAAAAAATATAAGAGACAATTTTTATCATCATTACAAGAGAATAAAAATTATATAAAAATAATAGGTTTTTAATTTTTCTAACAATTTAATTTTTTAGTTTCTTAGAAAAAAAAATTTGATAATGATTTTGAAACGCAAACAGCAAACTTTATAACCCAAGAAAAGTTACAACATTTCTAATTAAAAAACAAAGGTCATCTACATTTTAGCGAGTACAAGTTAGCCAATTATAAAAGGTAAGTTGTATGACGACTTTGCACTTAAAATGGACCGTTTGCAATGAAATATTCTTTGATTGTTTTATTTACAACAAGATTCAAGAATTTATGATCAAATATATCAAATTCTAAAGATATTCTAGAGACCAAATTATGATAAGTTTTAAATATACTAAAAACTGTTAGTATAATTGTGCCTACATTTTTTTAAACTGTTAAATAAAAACCATTTTTGAATTTCCGTTTTGATTTTAAAAAAGTCTGTACGGTCCCACTAAAATTATTTCAACTGTTTTATTTTTCTTTTCTTTTTTTTTTTTTATGATTTACTACAAAATATAAAATAAAATAAAGAAATCACACGTTTGACCCTTGTAAGGAAATATGTCCCAAAATTTTATTTTATCAAATGTAACCCTAATATTTCTTGATTTATTTTCAACAATCTAATATTTATCACTTTTTGTTAAATAAACCAATGAAAAAGATATATTATGTTAAACTCAATGAAAATGTAATTATTAGATATTTTATTGTAACTTACATTGAAGTTTATGATCCTAAGATATCATTTTTATGTCAATTTTACTTATGAATAGGGAAATTGTTCAAATTGAAAATAAATAAAAAATTTTAGGATTTGAAATTGATGAAATAAAAACTTTAGGTTTATTTGTTATAAGAGTGAAAACTCTAGTTTTTTTTTTTTTTTTTTTTTTTGTAATTTTCTTTTATTTTATTGATTTATTTATTTTTTCCGCACCCTTTCCAACCACCACACATTGTCTTCACTGGACCAATACCCCATCCCTCATGATTCCTCTGCCAACCATGCTTTGGCCACTCACCTTCTCAACGGCCAACCCATGTAGAACCCGAATATAAAAATTAAGTAAATAACCTAGAATAATAATTTTTACATTTGCAAGAATTTTTATTATGAATCTTTAAGTGGCAAATAAATATTTATGATGATCTTTTAAATTAATTTAAAAGCTTAAAATAAATTTATGTGAATAGTCTACAATTTAAAATGGCAAGATTTTATTATTAAAAATATAGATACATAAATTAAATATAATAAAATAAATTAAGGTGTCAAATTAAGTAGCATATTTTTGATCTAATAGATAGTTCGTATATTATTTTAAAATGGAAGATAAAATAAAATAAAAAAAACAAGGACATTTTTTGTCTAGAGTCATTATGTTATGGCTAATAACAAGAAAAGAAAGAAAAATCGCTAGTTCTAATACATTCTATAGCAGCAGCCACACAGCCACGGAGGAAGAAGTTTGAGAGAAAAGAAAGAAGGAAAAGGGGATTGCAACAAGGAGTAATTTTTGGTGATGGTAGGATATCTTCTTCTTCTTTTTTTTTTTCTTTGTTTTTGTTCTTTATTCTTACTTCTATTATATTTAGATCATTGATGGAGAAGTTGTAGTTTATGTATTTTGTATATATATATTATATATTATATATACTGTTAGAAATTTGAGAGATTAATTCATGTATAAGAATGGTGTAATTCTTAGTCCAAAAATTCTGCACAGAATCAACAACGTTAAAATCAGAGAAACCATATCAAACGGATGAATTTTAATCTGAAATTTTTACAGCTAGATCAAAATT